AGAGTTGGATGTGACGAAGGCTATAGGCCCAGATGGAATCTCCCCTTGGGTTCTAAAGGAAGGAGCAGAAGAACTGTGCTTACCACTCTCCATAGTGTATAACAAATCACTGGCAACAGGGGAACTGCCAGAAATTTGGAAAGCAGCTAACGTAGTCCCGATATACAAGAAAGGGGATAGACAGGAGGCACTGAACTACAGGACAGTGTCCCTAACCTGCATACCATGACCAGGACCGGGCCGCGGGGACACTAAAGCCCCGAAATCATCTCAAGATAACCTCAAGATAACCATGCAAGCTGATGGAGAAGATTGTGCGAAGAAAGCTAGTGGAGCACCTGGAGCGAAAGAACTTTGTAACACAGCACCAACATGGGTTCAGGGATGGCAGGTCCTTCCTCACAGGGTTACTTGAATTCTACGACCAGGTAACAAAAATAAGGCAAGAAAGAGAAGGGTGGGCAGACTGCATATTTTTGGATTGTCAGAAAGCCTTTGATACAGTACCACACAAGAGGCTAGTGAAAAAGCTAGAGATGCAGGCTGGAGTGAAAGGAAAGTAATGAAACTAGGCAGTGGAAACAGGAGGCCAGACACAGGATACAGAATAGGAGATGAAGTACTGAATGAAACAGACAGAGAGAAAGATCTAGGAGTTGATATCACACCAAACCTGTCTCCTGAAGCCCACATAAAGAGAATAACGTCTGCGGCATATGCGAGGCTGGCTAACATCAGAACAGCGTTCAGGAACCTGTGTAAGGAATCATTCAGAATCTTGTACACCACATATGTAAGACCAATCCTGGAGTATGTGGCCCCAGCATGGAGCCCGTACCTTGTCAAGCACAAGACGAAGCTGGAAAAAGTTCAGAGGTATGCCACTAGGCTAGTCCCAGAACTAAGAGGCATGAGTTACGAGGAAAGGAAATGCCTGCGGGAAATGCACCTTATGACACTGGAAGACAGAAGAGTAAGGGGAGACATGATCACAACCTATAAAATCCTCAGCGGAATCGACCGGGTAAACAAGGATAAACTATTCAACACTGGCGGGACGCGAACAAGGACCAACAGCCTGGTTGGTCCAGAACCCCTTGCAAGAACTTATCTAAATGCTTCTTGAAGACATCCACCTTTGTTCCAGCATTATTTCTAATGCTTGCTGGGAGGGTGTTGAACAGACCTCTGATGTTCAGTGTTCTCTGACTGTGCCTATGGCACCTCTACTCCTCACAGGTTCTATGCAATGTTGCACCTTTCCCAAGACCAATATGACTAAATTCCAGAACAATTTTTGTTCACGAGCTCTTAAAATACACAGTAGAAATTAATTCCCAGAATAATACTAATCCAAGATAAAATTACAAAATTCTTAGATACTATAAAACAACAAATTTCATTATATTTGAACACAATTTCTGGTCTGGGAAGACTCCATTAATTTCTTATAAGGTAAGATATTTTTTATCAAATTCCCGAAAAGATTCATTCCATTCCAAGATTCCAGTGCAATGAAGCACATTCAATTTTCAATCATTTAACTTTTCCCTATTTCCAGGAACAGACGAGCCCCCTAGACCGCTGTTCAGAGTGTTCCTCAGCCCCTAAACTGTTCCATTGTTCCTCAGCCCCTAAACTGTTCCATTGTTCCTCAGCCCCTAAACTGTTCCATTGTTCCTCAGCCCCTAAACTGTTCCATTGTTCCTCAGCCCCCTAAACTGTTCCATTGTTCCTCAGCCCCTAAACTGTTCCATTGTTCCTCAGCCCCTAAACTGTTCCATTGTTCCTCAGCCCCTAAACTGTTCCACAGTTCCTCAGCCCATAAACTGTTCCACAGTTCCTCAGCCCCCTAAACTGTTCCATTGTTCCTCAGCCCCTAAACTGTTCCACAGTTCCTCAGCCCACTAAACTGTTCCACAGTTCCTCAGCCCCTAAACTGTTCCACAGTTCCTCAGCCCCCTAAACTGTTCCACAGTTCCTCAGCCCCTAAACTGTTCCACAGTTCCTCATCCCCCTAAACTGTTCCATTGTTCCTCAGCCCCTAAACTGTTCCACAGTTCCTCAGCCCCCTAAACTGTTCCACAGTTCCTCAGCCCCTAAACTGTTCCATTGTTCCTCAGCCCCTAAACTGTTCCATTGTTCCTCAGCCCCTAAACTGTTCCATTGTTCCTCAGCCCCTAAACTGTTCCATTGTTCCTCAGCCCCTAAACTGTTCCACAGTTCCTCAGCCCCTAAACTGTTCCACAGTTCCTCAGCCCCTAAACTGTTCCACAGTTCCTCAGCCCCTAAACTGTTCCACAGTTCCTCAGCCCCCTAAACTGTTCCACAGTTCCTCAGCCCCTAAACTGTTCCACAATTCCTCAGCCCCTAAACTGTTCCACAGTTCCTCAGCCCCTAAACTGTTCCACAGTTCCCCAGCCCCTAAACTGTTCCTCTGTTCCTCAGCCCCTAAACTGTTCCACAGTTCCTCAGCCCCTAAACTGTTCCACTGTTCCTCAGCCCCTAAACTGTTCCATTGTTCCTCAGCCCCTAAACTGTTCCATTGTTCCTCAGCCCCTAAACTGTTCCACAGTTCCTCAGCCCCTAAACTGTTCCATTGTTCCTCAGCCCCTAAACTGTTCCACAGTTCCTCAGCCCCTAAACTGTTCCACAGTTCCTCAGCCCCTTGAACTGTTCCACAGTTCCTCAGCCCCTAAACTGTTCCACAGTTCCTCAACCCCCTAAACTGTTCCACAGTTCCTCAGCCCCTAAACTGTTCCACAGTTCCTCAGCCCCTTAAACTGTTCCACAGTTCCTCAGCCCCTAAACTGTTCCACAATTTCCTCAGCCCCTAAACTGTTCCATTGTTCCTCAGCCCCTAAACTGTTCCACAGTTCCTCAGCCCCTAAACTGTTCCACAGTTCCCCAGCCCCTAAACTGTTCCACAGTTCCTCAGCCCCTAAACTGTTCCACAGTTCCTCAGCCCCTAAACTGTTCCACAGTTCCTCAGCCCCCTAAACTGTTCCACAGTTCCTCAGCCCCCTAAACTGTTCCACAGTTCCTCAGCCCCCTAAACTGTTCCACAATTCCTCAGCCCCTAAACTGTTCCATTGTTCCTCAGCCCCTAAACTGTTCCACAGTTCCTCAGCCCCTAAACTGTTCCACAGTTCCTCAGCCCCTAAACTGTTCCATAGTTCCTCAGCCCCTAAACTGTTCCATTGTTCCTCAGCCCCTAAACTGTTCCTCTGTTCCTCAGCCCCTAAACTGTTCCACAGTTCCTCAGCCCCCTAAACTGTTCCACAGTTCCTCAGCCCCTAAACTGTTCCATAGTTCCTCAGCCCCCTAAACTGTTCCGTAATTCCTCAGCCCCTAAACTGTTCCACTGTTCCTCAGCCCCTAAACTGTTCCACAGTTCCTCAGCCCCTAAACTGTTCCACAGTTCCTCAGCCCCTAAACTGTTCCACAGTTCCTCAGCCCCTAAACTGTTCCACAGTTCCTCAGCCCCTAAACTGTTCCACAGTTCCTCAGCCCCTAAACTGTTCCACAGTTCCTCAGCCCCCTAAACCTGTTCCACAGTTCCTCAGCCCCTTAAACTGTTCCACAATTCCTCAGCCCCCTAAACTGTTCCACAATTCCTCAGCCCCTAAACTGTTCCACAGTTCCCCAGCCCCTAAACTGTTCCACAATTCCTCAGCCCCCTAAACTGTTCCACAATTCCTCAGCCTCTAAACTGTTCCACAGTTCCTCAGCCCCTAAACTGTTCCATTGTTCCTCAGCCCCTAAAACTGTTCCATTGTTCCTCAGCCGCTAAACTGTTCCACAGTTCCTTAGCCCCTAAACTGTTCCATAGTTCCTCAGCCCCTAAACTGTTCCATAGTTCCTCAGCCCCTGAACTGTTCCACAATTCCTCAGCCCCCTAAACTGTTCCACAATTCCTCAGCCCCCTAAACTGTTCCACAGTTCCTCAGCCCCTAAACTGTTCCACAGTTCCACAGCCCCTAAACTGTTCCACAGTTCCTCAGCCCCTAAACTGTTCCACAGTTCCTCAGCCCCTAAACTGTTCCAATGTTCCTCAGCCCCTAAACTGTTCCATTGTTCATCAGCCCCTAAAACTGTTCCACAGTTCCTCAGCCCCTAAACTGTTCCACAGTTCCACAGCCCCTAAACTGTTCCACAGTTCCTCAGCCCCTAAACTGTTCCACAGTTCCTCAGCCCCTAAACTGTTCCATTGTTCCTCAGCCCCTAAAACTGTTCCATTGTTCATCAGCCCCTAAAACTGTTCCACAGTTCCTCAGCCCCTAAACTGTTCCACAGTTCCTCAGCCCCTAAACTGTTCCACTGCTCCTCAGCCCCTAAACTGTTCCACAGTTCCTCAGCCCCTAAACTGTTCCACAGTTCCTCAGCCCCTAAACTGTTCCACAGTTCCTCAGCCCCTAAACTGTTCCACAGTTCCTCAGCCCCTAAACTGTTCCACAGTTCCTCAGCCCCTAAACTGTTCCACAGTTCCTCAGCCCCTAAACTGTTCCATTGTTCCTCAGCCCCTAAAACTGTTCCATTGTTCATCAGCCCCTAAAACTGTTCCACAGTTCCTCAGCCCCTAAACTGTTCCACAGTTCCTCAGCCCCTAAACTGTTCCACAGTTCCTCAGCCCCTAAACTATGTAGCTATCTATAAAAACGTTTAGGCACACAGGAGTGAAAACAGTTAAATCAAATGGAAAAAAATAGTAGATAAAGATAGTAGATAAAGATATAACCCCAACAAGGAGAATACAGTAGTGATAAGAGCGGTCTAAGGGTTAACATCCCCTTGATCGATGATAAATAAATTCCTGATTATAGATCAATTCTCTTTCAAATATCAATTGAAAGGTCTACAGTTGTATGAACTACGTCTAGGGTGAGAAAGTATTGAGGTCATACAATGGGATCGAACCTGCGACGCTGATCTAAGGAATAAATTAGATTTCAATAATACCCGAGCTCCTTGTCCTCATACCCTAGCTCCTTGTCACCGGTATGAGGACAATGGAGTATGTCTGGTATCTGGCCTACATAGAGGAGAGTATGTGGTCTACATAGAGGAGAGTATGTGGTCTACATAGAGGAGTATATGTGGTCTACATAGAGGAGAGTATGTGGCCTACATAGACGAGAGTATGTGGTCTACATAGAGGAGTGTATGTGGTCTACATAGAGGAGTGTATGTGGTCAACATAGAGGAGTGTATGTGGTCTACATAGAGGAGTGTATGTGGTCTACATAGAGGAGTGTATGTGGTCAACATAGAGGAGTGTATGTGGTCTACATAGAGGAGTGTATGTGGTCAACATAGAGGAGTGTATGTGGTCTACATAGAGGAGTGTATGTGGTCTACATAGAGGAGTGTATGTGGTCTACATAGAGGAGTGTATGTGGTCAACATAGAGGAGTGTATGTGGTCAACATAGAGGAGTGTATGTGGTCTACATAGAGGAGTGTATGTGGTCTACATAGAGGAGAGTATGTGGTCTACATAGAGGAGTGTATGTGGTCTACATAGAGGAGAGTATGTGGTCTACATAGAGGAGTGTGTCTACATAGAGGAGTGTATGTGGTCAACATAGAGGAGAGTATGTGGTCAACATAGAGGAGTGTATGTGGTCAGAGGAGTGTATGTGGTCTACATAGAGGAGTGTATGTGGTCTACATAGAGGAGTGTATGAGTATGTGGTCAACATAGAGGAGTGTATGTGGTCAACATAGAGGAGTGTATGTCTACATAGAGGAGTGTATGTGGTCTACATAGAGGAGTGTATGTGGTCAACATAGAGGAGTGTATGTGGTCAACATAGAGGAGTGTATGTGGTCTACATAAAGGAGTGTATGTGGTCTACATAGAGGAGTGTATGTGGTCAACATAGAGGAGTATGTGGTCTACATAGAGGAGTGGTGGTCAACATAGAGGAGTATATGTGGTCAACATAGAGGAGTATATGTGGTCAACATAGAGGAGTGGTGGTCAACATAGAGGAGTATATGTGGTCAACATAGAGGAGTATATGTGGTCTACATAGAGGAGTGTATGTGGTCAACATAGAGGAGAGTATGTGGTCAACATAGAGGAGTGTATGTGGTCAACATAGAGGAGAGTATGTGGTCAACATAGAGGAGTGTATGTGGTCAACATAGAGGAGAGTATGTGGTCTACATAGAGGAGTGTATGTGGTCAACATAGAGGAGTGTATGTGGTCTACATAGAGGAGTGTATGTGGTCAACATAGAGGAGTATATGTGGTCTACATAGAGGAGTGTATGTGGTCAACATAGAGGAGTATATGTGGTCAACATAGAGGAGTGTATGTGGTCTACATAGAGGAGTGTATGTGGTCAACATAGAGGAGTATATGTGGTCTACATAGAGGAGTGTATGTGGTCAACATAGAGGAGTATATGTGGTCAACATAGAGGAGTGTATGTGGTCAACATAGAGGAGTATATGTGGTCAACATAGAGGAGTATATGTGGTCAACATAGAGGAGTATATGTGGTCAACATAGAGGAGTATATGTGGTCAACATAGAGGAGTATATGTGGTCTACATAGAGGAGTGTATGTGGTCTACATAGAGGAGAGTATGTGGTCAACATAGAGGAGTGTATGTGGTCAACATAGAGGAGAGTATGTGGTCAACATAGAGGAGTGTATGTGGTCAACATAGAGGAGTGTATGTGGTCAACATAGAGGAGTGTATGTGGTCAACATAGAGGAGTATATGTGGTCTACATAGAGGAGTGTATGTGGTCAACATAGAGGAGTATATGTGGTCTACATAGAGGAGTGTATGTGGTCAACATAGAGGAGTGTATGTGGTCAACATAGAGGAGTGTATGTGGTCAACATAGAGGAGTGTATGTGGTCAACATAGAGGAGTGTATGTGGTCAACATAGAGGAGAGTATGTGGTCTACATAGAGGAGTGTATGTGGTCAACATAGAGGAGTATATGTGGTCAACATAGAGGATATATGTGGTCACATAGAGGAGTATATGTGGTCAACATAGAGGAGTATATGTGGTCTACATAGAGGAGTGTATGTGGTCTACATAGAGGAGTGTATGTGGTCAACATAGAGGAGTATATGTGGTCAACATAGAGGAGTGTATGTGGTCAACATAGAGGAGTGTATGTGGTCAACATAGAGGAGAGTATGTGGTCTACATAGAGGAGTGTATGTGGTCAACATAGAGGAGTGTATGTGGTCAACATAGAGGAGTATGTCTGCTCAACATACCGTATATTCCCCGTCATATAAGACGAACTTAACTTACAAGAATGTCTCATGGAAAGTTGTAGCATCTTGACCAGACCACACACTAGAAGGTGAAGGGACGACGACGTTTCGGTCCGTCCTGGACCATTCTCAAGTCGATTTGAAACATCTTCCTGTTGACAGGTGTTGAGAGTGATGCTCACATGTTTTATTTTGGCGTGGCAACATGTGACTCTGTGCATATATTGTGAACAACATGTGCTCTCTAGGGTGGGGTCAACTCCCGTGGAAGATAGTTCCACAAAACTGGTTTTCTGATTTACAAAATCGTGCATTAGGCTGGGTTAGGATGTACTGGCTTCGACATACTAGATTGAGTTGGGTTAGGATGGTTTGGGTTTGGTTGAGTAAGGTTGGATAGGTTTTAAAATTTGCTTGTGAATCGTTTTTAGTATGAAAGATCTGGGTAAATACTGGTTTGAAAGACCTGGGTAAATACTGGTTTGAAAGAGACCTGGGTAAATACTGGTTTGAGAGAGACCTGGGTAAATACTGGTTTGAAAGAGATCTGGGTAAATACTGGTTTGAAAGAGACCTGAGTAAATACTGGTTTGAAAGAGACCTGGGTAAATACTGGTTGTATTTGCCAATGTTCTCAAATACAACTTGAGATATATTTCCAAACAAAAAATCCCAGTACATCCCAAAATCAACACGAAAGACAAATACTGTAATTATCAATTCCATATACGATATCATTTCTGGATCCAATGACGAGGAACCATTTCTAGAAATTCCAATTGTCGCCGCTAGGAGGCAGTTCCCGAATTCCAAGAACTCGACTCTCTTTAAAATTCCAAGGAGCAGACCTAACCTGACCTTGCAGTCGGGTGTGGGGAAGACCTGTTCCTGGAACTCAAGGCGCTCAGCTGCCCACACACGATTTTGACACGAAAATATCCGTAATTATCCAGCCCATCCGTGCCGTCACGACGGTGTGTGTGGGGGGGGGGAGGGGGAGGGGAGGTGACAGGTGGGTTTAGGCTTAAGAGTCGGGGTGGGGGGGGGTGGGGGTGAGAGATTAAAGAAGGTGAGTGGGATTGGAAAGAGAAAGAGGGGATGGAAGAGCTATATAGAGGGAGAGAGGGAGGCAAGAGAGATGGAGTGAGGGCTAGAGTGACAGGGGGAAGAGACAGAGCTACAGACAGGGAAACACGGGTTACAGACAGAGAAACCCTTTAACGAGAGGAAAATAGGGACTAAAGACAGGGGGGAAATAGGAACTAGAGACACGGACAGAAATACTAGACTAGGAAAAGGGGAAATAGTGAGAGGGGGAAAAGGGGCATCTAGAGACAGGACGAGACAGGGTGTGAAGAAAGAGTCACATATGGCAGCAGCTGACAGTCACGTGGGGGATGTAAACACGTGACGTCACGGACCTCTCCCACTGTCACAAGCATCAGCCAGCCTCCCACCACACGACCTGGGAGGCTGCACCCTCTCTCACACCCACAGTAATACATCATACACACGTCGCTATCATACACGCGCCACCAGAAAATACAACCCAGCTTTACTGATACAGTAGGGGGTGAAAAAGTAATGTTTTTGAACATTTTTGGTTCGTTCAAAGACTTGGGAGTATGAGACTTCCTGAACGATAATTATGAACTAATGTTGAAAGTGTGTGAATTTTTATAGCTGACTTTCAATAATTTTTTTTATGTGTACATGAATGTTTGTGTGGGTGGGTGTGTGTGTGTGTGTGTGTGTGTGTGTGTGTGTGTGTGTGTGTGTGTGTGTGTGTGTGTGCGTGCGTGTGTGTGTGTATGGTGTGTGTGTGTGTGTGTGCGTGCGTGTGTGTGTGTGTGTGTGTGTGTGTGTGTGTGTGTGTGTGTGTGTGTGTGTGTGTGTGTGTGTGTGTGTGTGTGTGTGTGTGTGTGTGTGTGTGTGTGTGTGTGTGTGTGCGTGCGTGCGTGCGTGCGTGTGTGTGTGTGTGTGTGAGTGTGTGTGTGTGTGTGTGCGTGTGTGTGTGCGTGTGTGTAATCACCTATTTGTGCCTGCAGGATCGAGCATTGGCTCTTGGATCCCGCCTTTCGAGCATCGGTTGTTTACAGCAATGACTCCTGTCCCATTTCCCTATCATACCTGGTTTTAAAATTATGAATAGTATTTGCTTCCACAACCTGTTCCTGAAGTGCATTCCATTTTCCCACTACTCTCACGCTAAAAGAAAACTTCCTAACATCTCTGTGACTCATCTAAGTTTCAAGCTTCCATCCATGTCCCCTCGTTCTGTTACTATTCCGTGTGAACATTTCGTCTATGTCCACTCTGTCAATCCCTCTCAGTATTTTATACGTTCCTATCATGTCCCCCCTCTCCCTTCTTAATTCTAGTGTCGTAAGGCTCAGTACCTTCAGGCGCTCCTCATACCCCATCCCTCGTAACTCTGGGACGAGTCTCGCTGCAAACCTCTGAACCTTTTCCAGTTTCCTTATATGCTTCTTCAGGTGGGGACTCCATGATGGGGCGGCATACTCTAAGACTGGCCTCACGTAGGCAGTGTAAAGCTCCCTAAATGCCTCCTTACTTAGGTCTCTGAATGATGTTCTGACTATTGCCAGTGTAGAGTACGCTGCTGTCGTTATCCTATTTATATGTGCCTCAGGAGATAGATTAGGTGTTACGTCCACACCCAGGTCTCTTTCTCGCGTCGTCACAGGTAGGCTGTTCCCCTTCATTGTATACTGTCCCTTTGGTCTCGTATCTCCTAGTCCCATTTCCATAACTTTACATTTGCTCGTGTT